TAATACACCAAAAAGAGACATTATTTTCATTACAGGAGACTGGAATGCCAAGGTGGGAAGTCAAATGACAACTGGGATCACAGGCAAGCATGGTCTGGGAGAACAAAATGAAGCGGGACACAGGCTGATAGAATTTTGCCAGGAAAACTCACTGTGTATAACGAATACTCTCTTCCAACAACCTAAAAGACGGCTTTACACATGGACCTCACCAGACGGTCAACACCGAAATCAGATTGACTACATCCTTTGCAGCCAAAGGTGGTGGACATCCATCCAGTTCGGTGAAAACAAGACCTGGGGCTGACTGTAGCTCAGATCACGAACTTCTTATTGCCCAATTTAGAATAAAACTAAAGAGATCAGGGAAAATACACAGACCAGTTAGATATGATCTCACTAACATTCCTAGCGAATACAGTGGAAGTGAAGAACAGATTTGAAGGACTAGATTTAGTAAACAGAGTCCCAGAAGAACTATGGACAGAAGTCCGAGACATTGTTCAGGAGGCGGCAACAAAGTACGTCCCAAAGAAAAAGAAAACCAAGAAGGCAAAATGGTTGTCTGCTGAGACACTCGAAGTAGCCCAAGAAAGGAGGAAAGCAAAAGGAAACAGGGATAAGGGGAGATATGCCCAGTTAAATGCGCAATTCCAGAGGTTAGCCAGAAGAGATAAGGAACTATTTTTAAATAAGCAATGCATGGAAGTGGAAGAAGACAACAGAATAGGAAGGACAAGAGACCTCTTCCAGAAAATTAGAAACATTGGAGGTAAATTTCAGGCAAAAATTGCTATGATAAGAAACAAAGATGGCAGGGACCTAACAGAAGCTGAAGAGATCAAGAGAAGGTGGCGAGACTATACAGAAGATCTGTATAGGAAGGATAATAATATCGAGGATAGTTTTGACGGTGTGAATGAATTAGAACCAGACATCCTGAGGAGTGAGGTTGAATGGGCCTTAAGAAGCATTGCTAACAACAAGGCAGCAGGAGACGACGGGATCCCAGCTGAACTGTTTAAAATCTTAAAAGATGCTGCTGTCAAGGTGATGCATGCCATTGCCAGCAAATATGGAAAACACAAGAATGGCCATCAGACTGGAAAAAATCAACTTATATCCCCATACCAAAAAAGGGAAAAGCGAAAGACTGCTCAAACTTCCGTACAGTGGCCCTTATTTCTCATGCCAGTAAGGTAATGCTCAAGATCCTGCAAGGAAGACTCCAGCAATACATGGAGCGAGAGTTGCCAGATGTTCAAGCTGGGTTTAGAAAAGGCAGAGGAACGAGAGACCAGATTGCCAATATCAGCTGGATAATGGAGAAAGGCAGGGAGTTTCAGAAAAACATCTACTTCTGCTTCATTGACTATTCTAAAGCCTTTGACTGTGTGGATCATAATAAATTGTGGCAAGTTCTTAGTGGGATGGGCATACCAAGCCACCTTGTCTCTCTCCTGAGGAATCTGTACAAGGACCAAGTAGCAACAGTCAGAACTGACCACGGAACAACAGACTGGTTCAAGATTGGGAAAGGCGTACGGCAAGGCTGCATCCTCTCACCCAACCTTTTTAACTTGTATGCAGAACACATCATCCGATGTGCGGGGCTGGATGAATGCAAAGCTGGGGTGAAAATTGCTGGAAGAAACATTAACAACCTCAGATATGCAGATGACACCACTCTGATGGCCGAAAGCGAGGAGGAGCTGAGGAGCCTTCTAATCAAGGTGAAAGAAGAAAGCGCAAAAGCCGGGTTGCAGCTCAAACGTCAAAAAAACCAAGATTATGGCAACAAGAATGATTGACAACTGGAAAATAGAGGGAGAAACCGTGGAGGCCGTGACAGACTTTGTATTTCTAGGTGCAAAGATTACTGCAGATGCAGACTGTGGCCAGGTAATCAGAAGACGCTTACTTCTTGGGAGGAGAGCAATGTCCAATCTCGATAAAATAGTAAAGAGTAGAGACATCAGACTGGCAACAAAGATCCGCCTAGTCAAAGCCATGGTATTCCCTTGTAGTAACCTACGGATGTGAGAGCTGGACCTTAGGGAAGGCTGAGCGAAGGAAGATCGATGCTTTTGAGCTGTGGTGTTGGAGGAAAGTTCTGAGAGTGCCTTGGACTGCGAGAAGATCCAACCAGTCCATCCTCCAGGAAATAAAGCCCGACTGCTCACTGGAGGGAAGATACTAGATACAAAGTTGAAGTACTTTGGCCACATCATGAGGAGACAGGAAAGCCTAGAGAAGACAATTATGCTGGGGAAAGTGGAAGGCAAAAGGAAGAGGGGCCGACCAAGGGCAAGATGGATGGATGGCATCCTTGAAGTGACTGGACTGACCTTGAAGGAGCTGGGCGTGGTGACGGCCGACAGGGAGCTCTGGCGTGGGCTGGTCCATGAGGTCACGAAGAGTCGGAGACGACTGAACGAATGAACAACAACAACAAGAACTAAAAGATGCATGAAATATCCCATCCTCTACTCTAAATACTCTTCCTTCTGCATTTTGGACCTTACTGCATGAGGCTTTAAGCCACATTGGAAGCTCTGTAGCCATAAATGAAAAGATTTACCATCACATAACATTGTCTTAATTTCACTGTGCATCAAGCTCAAGCTAGTTGAAATTGTACTTGATGATAATGATCAAACCTCACTTTAAAGTTTCTGAATGTGTGTACAAACAGTCTTTCAAAGAGATTTCAGCCACATTATAATCTGAACGTGCTTTTGCTGTGATTTTGAGGACAATGGTGTATCTTGTTGGTGTGTTGTTGGTTCTCTCCACTGCAAAGCCAAAAGCCAATCTTTCCCCTTGAACATCCCCAATTGCTTTCTTTTAAAAAAAATTACATCAAGAAACGCCGCAACTCCATGTCTTCAGTAAACCACTGGTATGAATTTCCCCTATTAAACGTTTTCCTTTATTGCAAGGCAAGTCTGTTTTGGGGAACTTCCTCTTCATACATAGTTCTACCTCGCTAAAAAGGCTTTCACAGTCAAAACTACACCTTTCACATGCCTAATAAACACAATAGGAAAAAACTATTATAATAATTACAAAATGCTCATTTATTTATTTTTATTTTAAGTGATTATATGGACAGTGCTTCAGTAGTTTGGAAATATTGAAGCAGAGAGTTGTGCAGCTCCAAACCTCGGAACCTTCAGACCAGCAATTCTCACATAAATAGAGGGGCCATGTACAAAGAGAAGGAAATACATGGATTATGAGTTACATCACTGCAACTAAAGTAAACACAATGCACTTTGAGCTTTCTCATAGCACTAAGGCTTGTTGTGATATGAAGAGGGACTAGACAGGTATACTCCAGTCTCAAACAAGACAGAATTCCACTGACAGAACCTATTTTAGGAGACTCATGTGATAATGTTCTTTGTTGTTGTTTACCTTTATATTGGTTCTGACTTGGAGCAAACCTAAGATGAACATGTTACAGAATTTCTTTGGCAAGATCTGTTCAGGGTTAGCCTTTGCCATCTTCTGAGACCGCAAGAGTCACCTAGTAGGTTCCATGGCTGACTGGAATTCAAACCCTGGTCTTCAGAGTCATAGTCCCATACTCAAACCACTAAACCTTATATTAATATTACTGTCCACACTACTGCACATTTAGCAGTTATAAAAAAAAGAAAACAGTTTGAAATCACAGTTTAAAAATACAGATTAATGTAACAGGTATGGAACCTAGGGGGGAAGACTGATAGGAGGGGTCAAAGCACTGTGAGAGGGCACTAAAAGGGATGGGAGGGGCACATTACAATTCGAGTAGCATTTCAGCTATAACAGGTTGCTCCTGCTGACTTCCTGACAGGGGTTACCTTTCGTTTTCGATCATCATCCCTCTACTTTTAAGTGCTACAGCACCAAACTTAGCAACACTGTGAGTTATTATAGTGCTAGAGTCCGAAAGCAGCAAGGTGGTAATATTTTCCAGTGCACCCTAGATATTTTAGAAGCCATGGTGTGTAATGAGATTAGTTCTATCGTCTCTGTAGAACATGCACTGAAGAAGCATTTGCTCAGTTGTTTCTGTGTGTCCTGATTCACAGGGGCATAATTTCTCCTTGAAGGGGGTCTTCCGGTACCCCACTTCCAATACCGTCAATGGAAGGGCATGGCATCTTGCCAGGGTAAAAGCCCTTCAGTGTTTACGCACCTCCAGGTTTGTTAGATAAGTCATGGAGGTGGTGAGATATCTATTACCTTCACTAACGATAAAGGCTAGGGCAGGCTAAGTCCGGTTGCGCTCTATGTCCAGGATCCATTGCTTAATGAGATCCTTGGCTTGGTCCCATCCCCTGCTTAGCAGTTGTCCTTGGAAGAAACCTAATGTTATGATCTTTACTGCCACTGTTTTAGTCCATGTGGAAAATTTAGGGCAAAGGATATGATTTGCACATTTCCATATCCTATTACATAAAATTCCAGAACTGTATGCTTTATATCTGAGCATTTATCTGCATCTAAATAAGTCGGTTTGTATCTGTAAACCTTTCTAATGAGAAAAATCAGTATATTTTCTATAGTAACACATAGTCCAATGCTGGTTTCAAAAATAGTGTCTGAGGATAAATCCATGAATCCTCAAAACAGATGAAGCCCTAAACCCGCTAAAGACCCAGGAGGTGAAGCAGTAACTTATTCTATGTCAATTGGATGTGGCACAAAGGACACTTCCCATCTTTTGCTTAACAAATGCTTTCACTCTTCCCCCACTTCCCCCCCCCCCCCACTGTAAACCCAAGGGTTTTTTTGTTGTTGTTCTGGTGGTTGTGATTTAAAAGTTGTTTACAGTGCTCACAGTCCAATGAAAACAGCTCAAGGACAGCAAACAATTGCAGGAGAGAAGAGAGCAGTTAGCAAACACAGACCTACATCAGCTTCTGCTCTTTGGCTGCTCACCTAATCCTGCAGCCACAAGGGACTGGAGGAATCCAGCAGCTCTGCAGCCAAGAACATAGCATTACCTTGATCTCTGCATAGGCTGCAAATCTGGACTACAGTACCACTGCTGGGATTGCCACAGGCATCATCATGAGAGGGTGAGCTTGATGCAGAAATCCCAGAGCAGGATATATAACGTGCCAATCTGAAGTCTTAAGAGTTTTGCAACCAGCCTACAAGGAAAGATATAGAGAAAGTTATTGTCTATGCAGCAAGAAAGCACTTAAAATGTTTGTCAGCATATGTCCAAATAATACTTCAAATAATGTTTTTAGTGGATAACTCAGTAACAGTATTGGGTTGTTGTAGGTTTTCCGGGCTGTATGGCCATGTTCTAGAAGCATTCTCTCCTGACATTTCACCTGCATCTGTAGTAGGCATTCTCAGAGGTTGTGAGGTCTCACAACCTCTGAGAATGCCTACTACAGATGCAGGTGAAATGTCAGGAGAGAATGCTTCTAGAACATGACCATACAGCCCAAAAAACCTACAACAACCCAGTGATTCCGGCCATGAAAGCCTTCAACAATATATAGTAACAGTATTGTTCACTGTTTAATATGAGCTGTTTCATATGAACAGCCTTCAAGGGTGTACTTATCATGTAGCATACTTCAAAGCTGTTCTTATAGCAAGTGACCACACAAGCTTATGAGAACTCAGAAAGTGCCAATGTCTGTAACATTATTGTTAAGAAGAAATAGGGCAAACAGGGCAAATGTTTGCTTGAGCTGATTCAAAGCTGGCTTCTCCCATATACTCTGTTTCAAAAAGAGAACTATTATAAGATCAACATTGACTGCAATGACCACAAAACACAATACAAGAAGATGACTTGTTACTCTTTTAAACTAGTAATGCTTAGTTTTGTATGGTTTTGGAATATAGGGAGAGTGAAAGAAGGGATATAGGCTAGAAGGGGTAGCATAAGTCAAATAAGCAGGAAGTTAGTTGGCGAAGATGTTGAAGAAAGAAGAGGAACAAAAATAGCTCAGAATGTACTGGAAGGATTACGAGAAGTTCACCCACTAGACTAGACCATTGACATCATTATTACACACTCATAAGCTGAGTCACATTGAATTCATTGCTATATACATCTTCATGCTGGCACAGTTACTGTTTAATTGTGTTATGCCTATTGTACGAATTAATATTTTGAAGAAATACTGCTTAAGCATCCATCATTCCAGAGACTGATTATTGTATTTTGATTGTATTTTGTGGTACTCCTGTTGGTGTGGAAACATTTTTGGACAATGTAGAAGTGGGCATCCAGTGCCAGCTAAACCTTTAACCTGGTTATCAATAGCAACCAGGAGACATGCCACCATAGCTCTATAACCCTCACCATCAATGGGGGGTCAGAGTGATACTGAATATATTTTAGTAGAATTTTCCTCAAGTGCTCAAGAGGAGTCAAAATTGAAGAAAACATTAAGAATGCTAAACAAAGGTGTTTTGTGTCACAATGAGAGCAAACACAGGGAATAAATCAGAATAGACCAAGCAACTCCTCCATAACACAGCATTCCCTTGTGATTCAATAACGGACTCACTCCAAAAGTAAATGAAAGAAAAGATGATTTATGACAGAGATTTTGTAACCAATATCATGCAACAAAGTCACATTTTGGCATTACAGAGAAAGAGATAATCAGCGTAGTCCTGTGATATATGAAAGTGGATGCAGTGTGTTGAAGGAAGAGATTGACACTCTTTGACTTGGCCATGGCACTCATGTTACTTTCTTACAGCACTGAAGAAAGCTAATTTCTGTATAACATAAAGTATAACCACAACCATCTTCCAAAGCAAAACCATCAAACCCAACACTTCTCTCCATAAGATACTGAAAATTCATGAAAGCCCAAATAAAATGAGAAATAGCATTTTAGGTGCAACTTTCATGCTTTTTTAAGATGTGATCTTTCAAGCTCTTTCCACTATAAAATAAGAAAATGCTTGCACATTTTTTTCAGAGATGCTGAAGCTTCTGTCTTGTATTTTTTTTTTCCAAATAATAAGCACTTCCCACTTCATGCAGATCTCGGCTGCCTCTACACTGTAGAATTAATACTTTTCAACGTCACTTTAACGGCCATGGCTCAATGCTATGGAATCCTAGGGAATGTTGCTTGGTGAGGCACCAGCATTTATTGACAGAGAAAGCTAAAGACCTTGAAAAAAATTCTATAACATTGAAGCATGACAATTAAAGCAGTGTCAAACTGCATTGATTCAAAGACTCTGTTGGCCAAACCTAGTGTGCTATCTCCAATCAGCTATCATGTTCACAGAATGACTTTGGAACACTCACTAACTCGCCACCAAACTCATATCACAGAGATGCTATGAAGACAGAATAGCGGTTCAATTCTTGAACACCACAAAACAAAGGTAAAACATCAACAAAATAAAACAGTTTAAATACACATTGTTTCAACAAAATAAAACAATGTTCATAGAATCATAAAGTTGGAAGAGACCTCGTGGGCCATCCAGTCCAACTCCCTGCCAAGAAGCAGGAAAATCGCATTCAAAGCACCCCCAACAGATGGCCATCAAGGTTTTGCTTTGAAGCCTCCAAAGAAGGCTTCTAAGCAGACTCCGGGGCAGAGAGTTCCACTGCTGAACAGCTCTCGCATGTTGGTTGGATATACAGTAGAGTCTTGCTTATCCAACCTTCACTCATCCAACATTCTGTATTATCCAACACAGTCTGCCTCCCACCTGGATCCACAACTGTTTCAATACATTGCGATGTTTTGGTGCTAAATTTGTAAATACAGTAATGACTACATAACATTACCATGTATGGAACTGCTTTTTCTGACGATTTGTTGTAAAACATTATGTTTTGATGCTTAATTTGTAAAATCATAATGTAATTTGATGTTTAATATGCTTTCCCTTAATCCTACCTTATTATCCAACATTTTCACTTATCCAACGTTCTTTTTTTTATGTCGTGTCAGGAGTTGCTCCTGTTGTGAGAGAACTGGCCATCTGCAAGGACGTTGCCCAGGGGACGCCCGGATGATTTGATGTTTTTATCATCCTTGTGGGAGGCTTCTCTCATGTCCCCGCATGAGGAGCTGGAGCTGATAGAGGGAGCTCATCCGCCTCTCCCCGGATTCGAACCTGCGACCTGTCGGTCTTCAATCCTGCCAGCACAGGGCTTTAACCCACTGTGCCACCGGGGGCTCCATCCAACGTTCTGCCAGCCCGTTTATGTTGGATAAGCGAGACTCTACTGTATCATAATCCAGGAAATGTAGATAAGGAATGGTTGGGAATAGTTGAAGAGCTGATATCTTTGAGCACTGTACTAAGCACAGTATCTGTACTGTACCCTCACATCCCAGCTGGGTTTCAGAAATAATGTGGTTTCTTTCTTTTAAAAAACATAACCATTATTAAGCAGTTCAAAGTCTATTTCCTGCATACTGTTAATTTTGCAGTGCCTCTGTCCAATAGTGTACACATCTTTTTGCAGTAGAGCTTTAAAAGTTCATATTCTTTTAATAATGAGAGTAGTGTCTTGTGACAGTCCATTCACACATATGTCACCACTTCAAGCTGCAATTAAGAAATTAAACTTATGCATGTGCAAACCAGCTATAAAAAGTTTGCAATTAATTAATAGATTGTTAAGATGCATTCCAAAGAAAAACATGCTAGACTCAACTATTCCCAATGTATTGTTGCAGAATTTTTATGCAGAAAGTATATGTGGAAATGGGGTATCTCCTTTGTAATAAAGGGGATTTTTTTTGTCTTGTCATTTGAATTACTCTATTTTTCTCACCAGTGTCCTTATGGAGCTAATTTCTCCATACGGCTGAGAACAACACTATATACTGCTGGAACTACATCTGGAGATATCCACTGTCAAGTATCAAATATCATAAGATAGAGTTTACGTTTTGCACATTAGGAAAAGCTAGGAAATCTTTATCCCTCCAGACGAAGACCATTTGATCTGGTGTTTTCTGAACAGAATAATGAACAAATTGAGCTAGGTGATACTGTGGGAAACTTGTAACGATGTTCTATTTTGTGAGTTTTCCAACTCTTTCCCTCAACTGCCGCTATGGAGAAATCACTCCTTGTATTTTCTTTGCAAGACTTTTGGTAATGTCCATTAGGATCAGCAGATTACTTAATAACTTCTGTCTTAGTACAATGTCTCAGATTGCTTTAAGGAAATATATACTATACTATACAATGGGGACAGGGAAGACTCACATGATTTCATTTTTTTTGCTGTCTTATTCCTGGTTTACTGGGACTGAACAACATGCTGGTGCATGCAGCCCGTTCCCTCCCACATCTCCACTCCCTTTGCGAGAAAAGGTTCACTTGACCAGGAAGCATTAGCTTATCATGACAGCACAACCTGAGATCCTAGTTTGTGGAGGATCCCAGGTTCAAGTGTCAAGATAAGCACTCCTTTCTGGTTTGTTTTACCCACTGATGTGAACCAGTGGAGTGCACCAGCACACTGCCTGCTCATGATAAGGCAGGAATTCTAGCTCATGGCTTATCGCAATCACTTTCTGTCCCATTGTTGCTTTCATACTTTACTCCTGCTTTTGTAAGCTAGTCAAGTTTAATATTCCCAAACCCCATCATATAAACTTCTCCTTATCCTGTTCACACACATTCATTCAGCTAAAGACAGTCCCCATGTTTCTCCTTCCTTTCCTGGCTGTCTTTTCTGTGAAATAGTACAAATCTCTTTATCAATACACAGACAGTCTGGATTTATGGACATCTCCAAGAACTGGGCAGGACACAGAGTGTAGACTTTACCGCAAGGACTACTTTTGCTGAACAACTAACTACAAGCAGAATTCCTCACCACCAAGATCAGGGATTTTATGCAGGCCTTTCCAGATAAACCCAACTTATTTAGCTGATAATATATAAACAGTTTATCGACTTTTGCGCATTCTCAGTGCAACAGGATGGCTGTTGTTCTTGGAATCTTGTTTGGTCATAATATTTAGAAGAGGGCTCTGATAGCTGAGATAAGCTGCTCACCCGCAACAGATGGCTCTAGGAGATGCACAGCTGAGCCAACATTCTGAAGCAAATGAATAAACTTGTAAGTAATGGAAGTTGTTTGTAAGTGGTTTGGGTGAA